ATTAGCTAACAATGACATTGTTCTATTAACATGTCAGTTACTCGACAGACCATACTTCTTTTACTTGAGTAAAGAAGTTAGTCAGACTTCTATTTTACCAGAGTATTTGAAACACGAGTATCTGTACTTCTACTTGAGGAAAGGATGTGATATGCCGGAGGAAGGAGGAGTGGCTGCAGGAGGAGAGGATGGAGAGGGAGAAAATAGAAGTGGAGCTTGGACGAGAGAGAGATTGCACTAGAGTGAGTTCATCGCATTATTCAACACACAAACAAATTCAGCTCTAAATATAACTGATCGTGTGCCATCGTCATCTGCTCGGATTACATTTCTGGAAACTGGAGAACGAAGCCAGAGTTCAGTGTACTTAATGTATGACTCACTAGCAGGCACAAATAGAAATCTTCCATGAACAGCGAGTAAACATTTCTCTTTACTGCCATGTGATGACAACAGCAGGTGAGAGGATTAAAATACTGCTGCCCCCTGTGGAGCGACCCGACGTGCGGAGGAGCAGAACAGGCAAGGCATCACACACACACACACACACACACACACACACACACACACACACACACACACACACACACACACACACACACACACACACACACACACACACACGCGCACACCACAGCTATTTTTGTTTTAATCAAATTTGTATACATATAACAGTTGTCGTGCTTTCCCCAAAGTCACACTATTATTGGGTGCCCTCGTCGAATGAATTAGGTTCCCAGTTCTCATTTTAGCAGTAAAACAAGTCACTAAATATACTTTTCCATTACTGTACTTATGTTCAATGTAAAGGTACTTGTACTTTATTTAAGTATTTTAATTTACTATTACTACTCCCTTAAATGTCAGAGGAAAATATTGTTTTTTTAATTCATATGGTGTCATAAGTTAGTGGTTGCTTTGCAGATTCAAATTAATAACACAAATGTAATCAATAAATAGATTAGAATGTATTTGTTATAGTTAAGATAAGATAAGACCTTAAAGCTGCAACATTAAAGTAAAGTACACATTATAGGGTCAATAATAATAATCCAATTACATAATATTCATGTTTGTACACTGCGTCATTTTTCCATAATGGCTTTTTGATACTAAAAGTATTTTTTTATGAAAATACTTTTTACTTGTGTCGTAGTATTTCCACTGCTTACATTCAACGATTCAAAGATATCGTTAATTACAAAACACAATAAATAATTCCATACACTCAACAGGAAATAAGAGAAAATAAACATCATAGTTGTTAACATGAAATACTTTCTAAATGCATTTTAAATCATGTTTTTCTGACTCTTTTCCTTTAAATTGGATTGCCATTGGACACTGGTAGGACCTGATGATCTACATCCTTCAGTTGGAGCAGAGGTTGGAAGTTGAAATTGAATCAAAGGAGGAAGTCCCCACATCCCTCTGTGAGTAACGACCACACGTTGTACGCTGCTATCTCCCTGCACTGTAACGAGTACTGAAGTGAAGAGTCTAAACTGATTTCATACAGCTCCTGGCTCTTCCTCCGAGGATGAAGAGAATGTGTCCTCAGCTTCCTCCCGATCAATCCTCTCGCCTCTGTTCCTGTCCACTCCTCTGGAGCGGCCTCACAGAGCCGAGAGCCCCGTTGCTGAGAACCCAGTCTCTGACACACAGGTTTGCCATCCCATTCACACATGAGCCAAACAAGGGTTAACTCCACCTGCATCAGAGCTATGAGCCCTGCCAGTTTCTGCTCCAGTTCCATTGTTGACCACTGAGGTTTAACGCTGGCTGGTTGAAAGGAGTCATGACAATTTATTTATTCTAACCGGGTCGAGTTATAATCAGAGAAACATGAAAGCAAGATTTGCAAACCACAACATAAAAGTATGTTTACACATATAAGGAATGTGCTTAGTGTATACTGTATGGCACAAACACAATAAAAAGGAATTAAGTTGTGCAAAAAATTAACAAATATAAAAAAAGAAGCCATTATTATATAATATTATATTTTCATAAAAACTTTTCTTGGACAATTTACTCTGAAAATAAAAGGGTGGAAGTGAACTTACACTTACACTGACTAACGTGCAATAACAGTATGTAATATAAGTAACACCCCGGAGCATCTTATGACAATCCCAATGTATTTTACATGTGTGAATACAAAAAGTGATTATTATCTATTATTGACCTAGTTTGTTTCTCAATATCCAAAAACAACATACCGTCCTGAGGTGACAGATTTGGCTTTCCACCAGCCCAGTACACACCCTGTTTCCCTCCTCCACTGGAGTCACCTCTCATAGAATATTTTGGGGATGACTTCATTCGCACTCTCCTCCCTGGTGGACTGGTTTCAGAAAGCTGTCCTTCCACTTACCAGGCACTTTCTTTTCTTGTGGGAAGAGTCATAGAGCACTAGAGAGTACAAATAGAAGTCTAAATAATATGCTAAAAGCATCACAATACGAGTAAAAATAGCAGCAATAATAAAACATGTCCAGGATTAGCAAGCGAGAGAAAAGAAGTCAAGCAAAAATTGTATTTAATAGCATTTTTAGTGACAGTTTTGTCTATTTTTTTTTATCCTCAGCACCTTCTGCCTCTTTCTCTCTGCAGTGAGGTGGTCGGATCCCCCATGTGGTAACAAAAAGATGGACGGCAACTGACTTGTATACCCCAATGATGCAAGTTTTTGCCGGTCATCAAAAAAACGTTTGGATTGTTCTGATGATGCTTTGTAGCGGTTTGCCTTCACAAAGGACATCTTTACAGAGTGTCTGTGTTTGAAGATGACACAGTTTATAGTCTTAAGGGTGTAGAATGTTTTTTTAATAGAATGGCTTATGGTTTCATATCTACTTAATAATACAAATAATATATTATTATATTGCTATATATTATATTATTAATAATAATACTTTAGATTTTCCAATGTAGACCTTAATTGTCTCAAATAATGTCTAAGTTCTAATTCTCCACTTGTTATCCGTAGGTTTTCTAGCTTTTGTTTTTAGCTTATTCAAATATGTCTGAGCATGCTGCAACTGTTTTGAGAAAAGTGTATTTGATACCATGGATTTATAACGTCTGCGTGTGAATCGTGTGTGTGTGTGTGTGTGTGTGTGTGTGTGTGTGTGTGTGTGTGTGTGTGTGTGTGTGTGTGTGTGTGTGTGTGTGTGTGTGTGTGTGTGTGTGTGTGTGTGTGTGTGTGTGTGTGTGTGTGTTACAGACAAGTGAGAAATGTCCTGTTGCAGGTTGTTCAACTCAGCGTCAGTTTGGAAGAATATGAAAGTCAATGTATGATAGTTTTCTTATTGATCTGAGCTTCTGAGAGAGATGGTGCTCTTTAATCAAATCTGATGATAAATACATGCTGGTCTGTATTTTGTAATTTGACATCTTAAGTATTTCATTGCGGTCTGTAAATGGATTATAAAGAAGACACTGAAGGTCTGAAACAAAAAGTGCCTTTATCAAAATACAAGAAAGACAACAACAAATAACAAATAAGCAAACAATCAACAAATCAAAATGTAAAAACAAGAACAAATCAGCCCTGTGTGTGTGTGTGTGTGTGTGTGTGTGTGTGTGTGTGTGTGTGTGTGTGTGTGTGTGTGTGTGTGTGTGTGTGTGTGTGGATATCAGAGCTATTTTTCAGTACATTGAAATAAAACAGATGAGGTGTCTGAATCCCTGAACATAAGAATAAGGCTGTTATTTTCACACTACAAATATATATAGTTTATAAAAAAAAAACAACAGTTAAAAAACAACAAATGTAACAGATAAAATGGTTCCAGCTTCAAAACTCATAAGAGATGACTTTTTTTTCTATCAAATAATACAACATGAATACATTTCCCATCATTGACCTTACTGGAATTTGTATGAAGTTGTTTTTGTCCAAACGTAATGAAATATCTTTGGTCTTTTTTCTTTTTCCTATTCACATGCTTACATATAGAGCTGAGGCCTTTGTGACCTCATCCATGGCTTATCTATTGCACCCGCTCAAATCCAATATAACAAAAACAGAAAACATTATCATGAAATACGGCTGCAATGTGATATTTGAAAACCTCTGGTCTTGGCTGAAGATGTGTAAACGATTGAGTGTGAGTTAGAAAGACGGAGAGAAACAGAGTTAAGAAAAACACTGAAGATAATTCTTATCTTTCACCTCAGTCATAGATTGTGATGTTTCCGTTCTATATTATCACAAATCAGTAGACACACAGTCTGTAAACGTCATTGTGGCGTCAGTGCTGATCATTTAAAACCTCTGTGAATTTGATGATGTCACGTCTGGTGGCAAATATCTATCTATATCATGGTCTCTGCTGGCGTGTTGCCACTAAGCCGATCTGTTCTCAACATCTTCTCTTTCTCCGCTTCATTCATCCTCTTTTCTTTAGATACCTTACACCAGCTTCTTCTTTTATCTCTCATATCAACAAATCAAAAATACTTTGCAGCTTTACACCTGACACCATACTGATGGAGACATGTGTCCCTTAGACATATTAAGGAGTCCAGTAAGACTACGTTGTCTTTCATTACAGAGATCATTTACATTTATACATCTCGAGTAAAAAAAGCTAAATGAAAAACGAATGATTTACTTTACAAAGTCTCATGTATCTCATGAGATACAGCACACATTTGAAACGGCTGCCCGCGCTTCAGCAGACAGGGAACCCAATGTAAAGCTTTCGTTATCTTAATTTTGTTGGATGGATGCAACCTCGTGTTAATCAATCATGTGATCAAATATCAGCTTACAACGGTATCGATGTCCAACAGAAGTCTTTGGGTGAGAACATTTGAAAGTTTGCTACAAAACGTATTTGATATGCATTTTTAAGATACTTACAACTTCTGCTTAACTGCTGGCTGTGGATTATGGCACTAATGAGAGTAACATCTACAACATCACTCTGTGGGTTGGTAGACACACTAATGCACATACACACACACACACATACACACCTGAGGTTTTCTGTGAAGTAAACTGATTGTAAGTGTTGTGCCCATTTGGAAGATTGTATTCTCACTCTTACAAAATGAAAAGAATATGGCTTATGTGCACCTGATATACTGTACCAAGGGCATGATCAACAACTTCCATTTCTAATCATCTCTAGTCTTTATTGTAAGAAGACTTTTTAATTGAACAGGGGTGCGTTCACAGCAGCAGTTTCTCAAAATCCAGGTGAGACTTGGCACTAAAAAAGAATCAACCTGAGATTTTGTGATGACATTAAATCCACCCTGCAGATTCTTTAGTATCTTCTGAAATGGTGTGTGTTTTTGTCAGAAGGTGGATATAGTGTGCTGCGTTTGTTTTGCATTATTTGTTCGAGTCCTATTTGCATCACAAGAACCAGAGCTGAAGGACAGTCTTCCTCTTATTGTCTTTCCGATGTTTCACGAACTACATGTGAGTTTGAGTCCTGCTCACGACCTGCTCTCTCTTTCCCTTTTCACTGTGTCCAATGTAGCAGAAATGCATACAAATAACAAGACAAGCTAAATGAACTACGTGTCAAGTCAAATTTGAGCAGAAAGAGAAAAATATACAAAAAAAGCAACAAGAAGTCCCATAGACAGGAAAAAAGAAACAGAAACGTGTACATGCATAGAAAAACCACTATTGAAAAATAAGTCGCGTATCTCTGAATAGCGATAATAGGAATTCTGAGAAGACATTTGCGGCAAATGGACACCACGTAGTGTTCAGTTGTTGCAATGTATGTTTACCATCAATTGTATACAAAGCATAGCCCTTATAGATAGCGGAGGAGTGCATTTTCTTCTGTCCAACACCTCTAGTTCCTCTTTGGGTGGACAAAACACTTTTGAAATATCTTTTGTACAGTCTCATTTTGGCGTTTTGACGTTTTCCCGATGCTCTCCCCAGCCCACTGAAATGTAGTGCTTTTGCTTCTCCCACTCATTGCCTCCTCGACTGAATTCAACAAGCTTTCCTTTCAGCCGCATGTACAGTATTCAGTCTATGTAAATATGTGCTGTGTGAAACACTGTTGTTGTATAAGAGCCTAAATCTGTGAGGTTTCTCAGGAGAGATATTGCTGGGTGAGGGCTCAGTGATCTGAGGGAGGAAGCAGCATCATGGCGTCTTGTCTCACTGCGTTTTCCCACTCACGCCTTTCTTTGGCCCCCCCCCCGCCGCAGCCGCCGCCTCCCCCCCCGACGGCTCCCTGTCACTGTCCGCCCCTCTGTCTTTCTCCTCGTCCCAGTAGTCGTCCTCTTCCTCCTCCTCTTCTTCCTCGACTGCAGACTCATCCGTGGTTTTCTCTTCCTGTTTGATGGCTTGAATGGCGGGGGGGGCGGCTGCAGCGCTGTCCCCCGAGTCGCTGCTGTCCTCGAAGGCCTCGGGGTTCTCCAACATCTCTCTGATCAGAGGAGGCATGGGGCCCGAGATCTCCGTCTTCAGGGTGACGACTCGCTCTGTACCTACAGGCACACACACACATTTATTGAATGGATAGTGTATAAAAAGGACAGTGGAAAGCCTCTCCTACAATGAGCATATTTCACAGGTGACAGGTTTCTTTGCTTATTAGAACAAAAATGCCTATGTCTAGTAATTAAGAAAAAATCTCTTAATTTGCTTCCTAATTTAAAAGCTAAGAAACATTGGGCATTGTTTTTTTAAACCTGTGCTGATACGAAGTCCAGAGGTGGGAAAAGTACTCAGATCTGGTACTTGAGTAACAGTAGAAGTACCAAAGTGTAGGAATACTGCATTCATGTTACTCAATCAAAATATACTTAAAGTACCAAAAGTAATAGTACTCATTATTCAGATTGTGTTGTTTATATTTCACATCATTAAATCAAATCTGTAAAGCAACTAAATGTATTGAATAGATGTACAAAGTAGCCCAAAATGGAAATTCTCAAGTAAAGTACAAGATCTCAAAAAGGTACTTAAGTACAGTACTTGAGTACATTTACTTATTTACTTCTCACTTCTGAAGATTTCTTGTATTATGAGTTTGTGTACTGATAGTAACACTTTCTGGAATAATAATAACACAATAACTTTTTCCAAAAATGGAATTAAACATAAACAAAAATGCAAAATCTGCTATTCAATGCCAACAATAAGTACTATACAGTTGTTTATTCTCAGTACTGTGGGTACATTTAGTAGGAAGGTTTGTTACAGCCCTGCTTATTTGATGTGATACTGGTGTGTGAAACCTCAGCTGACCTTTGGTGCTGATTCCTCGGAGGTCTGTGACTTTCATCAGCATGCGGGGAAACATGTGAGGCTTGTTGGGGCGTCTGCGGCGGGTGTAGATCTTCAGAGCCTCCAGCAGTGGCTCCTGCAGCTTGTCGACCTTCTGGGGCTCCTCCAGATCCATGCGGTCTGAAACAATGCACATATTCAAAGAGGTGAAGAAATGGAAGAAAAGCTGGATACATTATAGTGAGGGAACTGTAAAACAATGAGAAAAGTAACATTTTAAAGATCTGCTATCATGCGATTTTTAGGCATATATTATGCGTCTCAGATATATACAAATACATAAAAAACATGTCTATGACGTGTTTTGCTCAAAATACCAAACAGATCATGCATTTTAGACATCCCTCATATCCCTATATTTCTGCCCTGTTAGAGAAGTGCTGATTCTGGGTCTAACGCTTATACTCAGATACTCTGCCGTGATTAAACGCCATATTATGTTCCAAACCACATCAAGGATTATTTCTGAAAGAGTATCCTCAAATGCTTTTTCTCTTGCAGGTTTACCACAAGGTGAGTTCCTTTTTTTATTTCCGGCTTTTTTACACATACTCTCTCCAGTACAGGTTAGCTCTGAGTGTTAGCGATGCTTGCTAATTTAAACAAAGACCATATTACGTCCAAAACCTGTGGGGCCATGTTTCTGATAGCGACGTTTCTGATAGGGCCGTGGGTGTAAAGCCAGCACACATTTCCGATATTACGTCATATCGGAAGCAAATCTGGATCAGCTCCGTTATACCCCCGTTTTTAGAGATGGGGGTACAGAGGAAAAGAGAGAGGGTTTTATTTTCTAACACTTTGTGAGTTCCCTGACCCACCGGGGACACATATTTATGTATAAAAGACATAGAAAAGTGCATTTTGCATGACAGGAGACCTTTAAGAGTCTGTAAGCTAATGATATCACTCCGGTAAGAAAAAACCTACCTCCGCAGATGAGGCAGATGGCGCTGAGCAGGCCTGTTTCTGTGTCGTCCATCTCCAAAGGCAGCAGCTGACCGGCAAAGGCAAACACCAGCTCTGTGAGCGGGCCGAAGCCGGCGTTATGCATCTGGGTCCTGTTGAGGGTGAGGCCATCAGAGAAGGTCATTGTGTCCTGTTCTGGGGTGTAGCGAGTGCATATCCTCAGCATCTAAGAGAAGGAATTAAATAAGAAAACAGAGAGGAAAGAACCATGTGGGCAGTTAGTAAAAGGAGGATGAAATTCAGTGAAAAAAAAACCATGGCAGCTATTCAGATGAATCATTTTAAAGTTAAGCAGCGTGACAAAATGAGAAAGCGTGAGGGAGGTGGAAGGGTATTAAAAAGGAGGAGGTGTTTGGTACCAGGATATCCAGGCATGCAGATTTGAGGAGGGTGATCTGGTCAGCGATGGTGAGCGTGGTGAAGCCTGGTAGTCGCTTGGCAAACTCCACAATCTTTATAATGCACTTAGTGGACAGCTCACTGAACTTATCCCACAGGCCCAAGTCCAGCTGCACTCTGTGGTCGGCACTCGAATTCTGGGAGAGAGAAAGAGGGACACTTTGGTCTGTGTGCTTGAGCAGAGTCCATACAGCGTTCTGGCAAAGCAGTGAGCTAATGCCTCAGTGGAGGGTTTAGGGGGCGGAGGTGATAAAGCATTACAAAACTTACAGTAGTGTATTTTCCCAGTTGGCCCAGAGATGGGAAGGTTTCCTGGTGAGCTTTGCTGACTTTTTTAACCAGCTCTTCCAGTTCCCCGCTCAGCTCGTAGTTCTCTGGCAGCACCACCTCCTCCTTCACGTCCTTCTTCTTTTTGTTCCTGTCATTACGCACCGCTAAAAGGAAATACAGACACAAGGAGACGTGGTTTAAAAGGCAATTCTTCCCACAGTATTCCTTTGTAACAATAATATTGATGACCATATTTTCTTCTCACCTTCTTTGGACATGCCAACCTCAAAGCACTTCTGCAGTCGACAGTACTGGCAGCGGTTGCGCGTCACTTTGTTGATCTGGCAGTTCTTGTCTCGGTGGCAGGTGTACACCATGTTCTTCTGGATACTTCGCCTAAAGAAACCCTGAAACAGAATTAAGACAATTTATTTTTCACTGATCATGCCAGTAGAATGCTCTTAATAACATCTCTGAAAATAGAACCAACAACCAGGTGTGATGTTTGTTTTTTTTTAAACTGATATTTGCGATGCTTACATGCTTTACCAAGATCGGGAATATTGTCATCATTAAATCAGAATGTTAGCATTTTCATTGTGAGTGTGTGTTATCATGAAGCTTGAAGCACTTTTCTGCCTGTGTTCAACGTTAAGATGGTTATAGACTTTTAGTTGATTGATTTCTAATGTAATGCTTATAAAATAAATTGTAATATGCTTGATGCATTGCATACATTTGTTGCCTGACTTAGAACTGAAGTCTTTCACTGCTTCTTTCTGAATATATTGTTCTTTGTTTATAGACTTCAAGCAAACAAAAACTCCAAAAGTGTTTTTTCATTTCATTTCAAGCTCTAAACCCCTACTTTAGCAAAGCTTTCATTGCATGTAGATTCAGTTGACATTTGCTGGTCACATGCAGCACAATGTTTGGCTGTTACATTAATAATGTGCATTGATAGTAAGGATACACTAGGGGGCAGCTCAACAGAAGCTAACAGTACAGCTCTGCAGTGCTGACATCTGTCCGGCTGTGGCTGAAACATCAGCTGTCCCCTTCATACATGTCATGTGACTCCTCAGGTTTCTCTGGCTTCATTTACCTTGCAGCCCTCGCAGGAGCTCACTCCGTAGTGATAACCAGATGACTTGTCCTGGCACACGAAGCACGGTTTGTAGACGCGAGGAGGGGGAGGAGGGGAAGGAGAGCTGGGCACCATCTCCTCTGAGCTGGTGCTCTGGGTCTCCACCGCTGCAGGAAGAAGAAACAAAAAGCAACTCTTATTATATCAGAACATCTTGTTTACATAAGTGCTTCAAGTCTTTTGAAACTATGATGAAAGCTAATACAGCAACTGATTAAGAGAGAATGGTCAACAAACAACCAATGCAACGCCAACCCCATGCAGGCCACCCCTCGGAGCCAGAAGGCAAGCTCAAAGGCAGACATTTTTAAGAGAAAGGGGAGGAGGGTGAGGGGGCACTGCTGATTGACAGGGACTTAAAAGAGACACAATTAGCTGATGGCCAGATGGCCCTGCTGATAAAATGCTGATTGGCAGCTGAGATTTGATTGGCTTCTCCATTTACTGGTGAGTGGGGGAGCAGCATACCTCTGTTGACTTTTTGACTGACATCTGAATCTTTGCATCTGTGTGTGTGTGTGTGTGTGTGTGTGTGTGTGTGTGTGTGTGTGTGTGTGTGTGTGTGTGCACGCTCACATTTTTATTTGAAAGGCTGTCTAACCAGACCTGCCTATATACCTCCTGCCCCATGTGAACAAACAGAGGCGGGATGTTTATGAGACTCTGCTGTCTCCCTCTCGCTGTCTCGCTAAAGAAAATGGCACACTGTATAACACCATTTGCTGGCCATCGGCACAAGTCCTTCAACTGCTGCTAATGAAAACGCTCAAAACAAACAATGTAAAGTAGACGCAGGTACAAGTGTATCCAGCTGTTTAAAAAAAGACGTGGTTCCCTGAACTTACAGAGAGTGAAACACGCCTGGTACACATTTGAAGGTGATGAACAAGAACAACCAGATTCCTTCGAACATGCCATTCAACTTTCACCTTCACTCACCCCAACTTCACCTCCCTCTGCCCATTCCCACCCCCACTCCCTTGTTTCCTGGCCCTAAATTCCTCACTGCAGGCTGGACAGGGTTTAATAGTTGCCCAGGCTCATAAGCGGCCCTATAAAGGTTGTGTCTGGGATGGGGAGGAGGCCCCCGGCCAGGCTGACGGCCTCTTTATTGGGATCCAGTCACCTTGGGCAGCTATTCACATCAACAGCTCCATCCTTGGATCCCTTCCTAGTAAAAATAAAGAATCTGGGGTCAAAAACCCCAAAGTCACAGCCCCTCCTGTCGCCTTCAATGGATAGCACAGGACTGAACCAAATGTGGCCCCCTCCCCACCGCAGCAACCCCAACCTGAACCTTCAGCCTGCCATTAACAAGAGTGGTAAGGTTTCAAAAAACCGAAAGCAAAGGCACAAAGGAATAATCTAATAAAAACAGAGAGGGGAAAATGAAAAGAAAAAGAAAGAGAAAGAAGGAGGTGAGTCCGAGGACAGCAACTTCCCAGTGGCCGAGAGGTTAAAAGAAATCCTGACCATTTAACTTTGACCTTGACTGAAGAAGGCCATTGCTAACTACATGACCATCAGCTTGCTTTAAGCTTTCAATTGAGACTTCTGAACTTTGTCATTTCAAACAACATTCGGTGAACCATGACTTGGAGGAAATGTGTTTTCAAGCTGTTGCTACTTCTAGCCGTTGCAGCAATTCAGCCTACAATTAATTATTATTATCCAAAGTAAAAATGTTTTGAAGGTTTTGAGAAAAAAACAACCCTAGTTTTCCATTAAATACAGTAATTCATTGGTTACTTTGATCTGGTTTTGACACAGTGCTTTGTAGGTGTGTAATTAAATTAACTATGTAATTAATTGATAAAAGTATGCAAAATAATAACTGAGGATACTGTTTTTTTTAAGTGAAAAGAGTCTGAAATGGAAATAAAAAAACACACCAAACCATCGACCATTAACTTCCGTGCAATGTGCTTACATTTGAATAATTCTGTTGTTTGAAGTCCCAAACTGTGAATAGCCAAATGTTATTGTAATAGGATATATATTAAATAGTTCCTATAACATTTATATTATAGACAAAGAAATCCGTCTACCTGCACTGAACTTCTTTATGCTTCATCATACAATATAAACCAGATGTGTGCACTATAGCTAAAGTGCTGATACTTTGAAAATGTGATTCATGTGGTATATGTTATTTGAAACATTTACCAAACCTTTTTTTTTAATCCGTTTTTTTTTTACAAAGATTATGTATTACATCTTTAGGTCAATTATATTTTCTAACAGAAACAAAACAACCCTGATAAAAAACAATTTGCCTAAAAGTACATACACTCATTAATAATGCATTACGAATAAAAAACACGATTCATTTGATCTGCTATCTGTCATGCGCTATTAGTTGTTTTGTTGCAATCGAGTGAATATGCTGATTTTCTTTGTCTTCTCTGTTATGGTTACTTTAATATACTTCAGTTTTTGGATTAAATTAACAATTTGAAGACAGCGTCTTGGACTTCAGGAATGTGTTAACAATCATCTTTCGTCCCATAAAAATATAATAATAGTATAATATCATAATAAAGAAAATGGATTAATTGAGAAAGAGGCTTAATAAAAGATAAAGAAACGATTGTTAGCCCTGATGGTAATGTTCATAGCGTACCTCATGGTTTATCTTGTCAGAAAACCAGATTGTAAAGATTATAGAGATTGTCATGTCTGCCTAATTCATATACTTGCTCTAAATAATAGCACTGTTCTCCAACAATGAGTGAAATTATTCAGAGTTTGCAGGAGAGCGTATCATATTTCACGTGAGTTTACAGGTAAACAAAGAGCAGCTTGTTGCAGGGGGTAAATACTATAATGTATTCAGTTTGGGGGGCATCGGAGCCCAGGTGTGGGGGGTGGGTCTGAATGAGTGGCGCTGTAACATGATCACTGTTTTCTGTTTATATAGTAACACTGACAATGTAAAAGTGGCCCTGAGAGAACAAGTGGAAAAATAGCTCCCATTGAAACAGAGAAGCTGCATCTGGCGCCAGGAGAGAGGTAGTGAGTGACACCGTCTGAGGGTGGTGAGAGGTGGTGAGGAGCGACGTGGCTCCCACAAGCATGACGCAGGGAGACAGGGCGAGAGACACTGGGCTGAAGGCGGCGAGAGAGGGAGGGAGGAGGAGGGGGAGGGGGATTTTACCTGCCGTGGAGAAAAGAAGGAGAGGAGCCAAAAACTGTCAAGGGCTGTCATCACCCTGAACTGAGCTCAGCCTCAGAGCCGCGGATGGAAAAAATGCCTCTCTCACTCTCACCTACAACTCACCCCTCAGCGTGTCACAACATCAATCAGCACACCTCTATTGGATGCAGATCAGAAAGAATGACTCTTGTGAATCAGACTCATCAGCGAGCCAGATTTACACCCTCTGCAAAGTTTCACATGCAATCAGAACTATACATATCACCTGTCATTGGATGGTTATTGTGAAAAGCTGTGTTTTGTGAGGGTTTTTTCACCTAACACTACTTCAGTTGATCTACTCTTGTTTCTGGGTCTGTTCCACCTTACTCCTCTCTGTTGTCAGATCAACACATCCCTGTTTAGACAACAAAAGCCTTTCTGAAAGCGGACACCTTCCTTGTCAGCTCTGATGAGTCTTGGTGGAGTGACGACTTCAATCCTGAGCATTAGTGGACTCAGTAACAGCCACATACTGCCAGCCCCCCCCCATTTCAACTTTGAATTGTATACAGTACACATTTTACATCATATCATTTGTTTGCAGTTAGTACACTAGACTTTTACATAGATAACCACTTTTATACTGAAAGGAAGACAATGCTGGTGTCATCAGACGTTTTTCAGAACTAATCTGTCATTTATTAATAAGAGTATAAAACGCAGATTGATGCAATGTGTCATGGAGCTGCAGTTGTTTAAATTCTGCAGCACACAAACATGGACAGAGTGAGCATGTGGTTTGTTTGACAAAGATATTGAAGGTGTGTTTCCTTGCCTTGGAGTGGCTGTGCAGTGGACACAGTGTGACATCTGGCCTGTAGGCATGCAGCCTGCCAACACCGTGCATCTCATTGAACTAGACTGTGGCCTGGGGGCTCCAGAGTGTAGTGGACCACTGTGGCATCATAACAAAGCAATAATAAATGGTAAATTGTTTAGTTTGAGATAAGATATAATTTTTAACCTCAGATCTTTGTTAAAACAAAGTTAACTGAGCCAAAGGGCAGTTTTGACTGAAACCTCTTTCACTTTGAATCCTCCAAAGATTGATTTTGATAGGAAATTCAGTTTTTACATAACCTCTCGCCTCACAAAATGTTCAGCAGCACACAGTGGAATGTGCGTGCACGTGTGAATATGTGTGTGTGTGGGCTGCTGCACGGGGCCACAGGTCAGCTGTGTGTGTGTGTGTGTGTGTGTGTGTGTGTGTGTGTGTGTGTGTGTGTGTGTGTGTGTGTGTGTGTGTGTGTGTGTGTGTGTGTGTGTGTGTGTGTGTGTGTGTGAGGGGTTTCAGCGTGACTTTGAGTGCGAAAACATTCACAGAAACAGTGTGAGGAAACTAAACATCATTCATGATGAAATAGCCATAAGACATTGTGTCATTTTCAAAGAAATGCATCTTGTAAATTAAATTCTGGTTACATGACATGGTCTTTCATTATAAAAATGCATGTTTGGTGCTTACAGTGACTGTACTCTGTTGTAATGCATGAGAGCAGATTAACAGTGGGGGAGAGCCACAGCCTCAAATATGCTGAGCGAGTAATTACCATGACAGCAGGGAGGAGATAGGGGAGATCTGAGTGACAATCCCTTTCATCAGCTGTTCTAAGTTCAATACCAGCGTCCCCTCCCCTGCGCTCCCCCCTCAACACAACCCTCACTAATAACCCTCTTCCCCCCTCTGCCTTCCTGCCCTGGCAGGAGGAGGAGCCCTTCCTGTCATTGGTAGCGCCTTTTTAAAGGAAAGGCTGTGAAAACCAGGCTACTGTCCAGGAGATGGCTCAATAAAAACAGCAGCACCAAACACTTAAAAAGGAAGCAGACACACACACACACACACACACACACACACACACACACACACACACACACACACACACACACACACATAGACAAGGGTGTACAAAGGGACAAACACACATTTGCACAAGCTCACTTACAAAAACAGAAATCCTGGACACATACTCAAACCTTAAACACTTTCAGAAGAACAGTCATAACTGTGGGCCAAAAGAGTATATAATACATATTCCCTAACTCATGTTCTCTTGATCTTTAGAATGAGGAGAACATCTGGAAAACAACATTAATGTAATATGTTGTTTTTTTTCCATGGTCACAAAGTTAGGCTTTGTCTGCAGAGTGGGGTGGGGGGTGCTTTTACGGGATAGGTTGTTAAACCTGGGTTAGTCCTTCCCATTCATCATCACGCATACAATACAGCCCTTCTTTTTTATAGCACCCAATAAACCCAGATCTCTATTTTTGCCTTTTTTTAATATTATTAAGACTACCTCTGAAAAAACACCAACATGGCTTCACAACCATAGTTCCCAACACATCTTCTACAGAAACAAATCAGGCAAAGTGGATTATAAATAGTGATTGAACTCCCAGGTTCAATTCCAGCCTTTGGGCCTTTGTTGGATGCAGTCTCTCTTTCCCCCCTTTTCTAGTCGGCCGCCATTTTGCTTTTATACCTCACTTTTATGTTCAAAGTTACTCTTTTGAAAATGCCACATTCCTGCAACTAAAGCCGACGGTTAGCACACTGTGGGATATTTGACAAATAGTTTTGTAGACATAAAAGATTGTCTCATTATTCAGAGTCATCCCAGGACACAGTGAATGTGGTGGAGACATGGCTGGAAGCTGTGACGCCACACACAGAGACAAGCTGGAACACGACTCACTAAACCTCACAAGATGTTGGTTTCAAGCTGGCCTATCAGCAGCCTGGGATTCTCTCTGTTCCTGTAGCTTTAATAAGAGTAACGTATAATTAATAATGTTATTCTGCACTTAGTTAAATTGTTTGAATGGGTTTAAATCAGAGCTTTTCCTCAACCATTTTCCTAAGATACAGTATGTGTCATTCCCAACAGATGAGTGTGTAGGCGTTCAGAATCAAAGGTAAATAACGTCTGTTGTAACAGGCAAACTGTAACCTCATTACAGTGAATAACAAGATTAGAGTAATAATTTGATTACAGTCTTTGCACAATTCACAGTAACTAAATAATCTGACAAGACCTGAAGAAGAATCTTGTTCATGGTCAAAGAGGGATGTGTGGCTGTCGATAGGAAAGAAAGAAAGAAAGAAAGAGACTGTTTGTGTTTTTTTCCTGAGTTAATTATCTGAATTTAGTACAAGGCATTTGAGGTGTAGGTTGTACCTGAAACCTTCCTTTGTGAACACCTAGCCACTGCACTGTTTGTGTATTGAAAATGTGCTTTCATTTACTCATTGTTTACTTCTCTAGCACACTCTCAGTGTCTAAACTCACACTTATGTGGAAACAGACACTTGCAGTTCCAAATGTATAATTTAAAATGTTGACAATTGACCAGCATCTGATCATTTGGTTATTTTAAGTGAGCTAAACAGTTTGTTCAGTTGCTACGGCAGCACTGAACTTGAATTTCTGGGTTCACAGAGGTTGCTTAGGCTACTTTCCTTCTCACCATTGTAGAGAAAGTGAAAGTGTTAAAAAAAAGACAGGCCAGAGGCATTAAGAGTACAGGCCTGTGTTTCACGACCCACTGACACAGATAACCTTATTTTATCAGGGTGACACTCATACAGGCGGAGGCCAACGTAATCATTTAAGCCCCTTTTTAGTCTAAAAACAATCATCTGTAAAATCTACTGTTTCATCTCATAGATCAGGCACATACAGTATCTTCTGGCTCCATCACTGGCCGTAACAGCTTACCATTGTATCACAGTTAGCCTCTCTCCTCCTGTGGGATGATATGAGGCTCGAGGAGCATTGTTTCACTAACTTTGAAGAACCCATTTAAGAGAAGAGGGTGCCAGAGAAAAGGGAGATTATCACCGAGGAGTGGAGAGCGTTTTCCCTCAAGGCCTCAAAGCCCCAAGATACAAAGCATCGGGGGGGTATTTTGATCCCAAATCCAACTTCAACCCTCTACTCTTCTTTCAGCCCGCATCTCCTTTAACTGCCCATGCCCCTACACACCACCTAATCTCTTAAGTGACCCTTTGTAATTGTAATTGAATCATTAAAGGCTCTTGGTTACACAACACTAAGCGTGTAAACTGAGCCAAGTTTGAGCAAAGAACACACACATTGGTGCACACTATTGGAAGAGAAAGATCAAGTTTAGAAAGGGGGGGTAGGGGGGGGTCTTCAAAAAGGAAAAAACGCAGAT